TTTACATAACACACTCATTGTTAATTTACGGACTGACTGATTTGGAGTGTACAGTCTAACCAAATTTCAGTTATCACTATAGGTCACCTTGGCCGTATGATTTCTTCCATAATTTCTTTGTGGGAAAGTGTTTTTGACCATTTGCCCTAATTTTTAAACAATTTTTGTCGACACTCCTTACTTGGCATATTTGAACCAGTTCGGTTGTGCATGCTTTCCATTGAGTGATCATTGATGCGAAGACATGTAACGCAGAAGAGCTTAGATATTGGTGTCTATGCATGTGCCAAGTTTGTGACGGTTTATTGGCAAAGTGGTCAAATGGCGAATCTACCAAGATCCAGCTCACGAATTGGTTGCGATCAATGGGCCCATTTCGCATCCTGGGCCGAATCAGGTCAAGGAAGAGACAGCAGAATTGGAGTTTCTAATCATATTCGCGAGGATGCTACTTCTTTGTCTTATTTGAAGGGGATTGAAGAGGGAAATGGGATCAGATCTGTTTGTTTAGCCATCCAGCATGTGTGGAGTCCCTATTAAAGCAGTCCTCTTTGAGTTGAAAGAATTTTTTAAGCAGGTCGTGCACTCAGCTCCATCGGGGTTTGTGTCCCTTTAAATAAAGCAGCCTTATTCGTAGTAAAAATGACTCTCGACTACGACTGATTAGAAACTGGAATTCCCCCGGCCCCTCAATAGCCCCCTTGTCCTTTCTCGTGTGGTAGATAATGCCGCGTGTTGAGTGTGCACCGATTGGCATTGAATCTGTGACCTCTTCACAAACGACTGGAGCACACTGTGGGTTTGAAATTAAAGCAGGCTTTATATCAATATTCCATTTATCATTCGATTTCCTGAGGAAATCTTTTCTTCCTTTGACTAGCTCTGATTCTGGAGGAGATTGCATTATCCGAACCGGATCCACAGAGGATGGACTCCGGACTCTTGATCGCAAAAGATTTGCACTTACTCTCCCTCGATATCTGTGAAAAGGTATATTCACGAGGTGGTTTCTTGTTACTCTCCAACTTGTTTTTCTAGACATTCGGTGTGTGGAATATTAAAACCGCCAAGCATATCGACAACCTTGGACGAGTCTTTCAGGCTCTGAAGCGAAATACTGTGAGTTGAACTTGACCAAATCATTTCGTGTGTGTGTGCATTATTTTAACTTGTGGCATTAGTATATCTTATGAATTTAAGTAATTGTGGGTATTTCACTTTATATTTATGGTGGAAATGACGTGAGGAGTGATCTAACTATTGGGACTCCTCTTTTCTTGTATTTTTGTTAACTACGTCATTCGCATCCTTCATTCACCGATCGTTTAGTCGTTTGCCGTTTCCTCCCCATTTTTTCCATCAACTCGACTTCCCGCTCTTCACCCCTCCCCCACAATCTAACGCCTGCGTTTCTATCTTGAAAGGGCAATAGAGAAGTCTACCAGTTGTTAAATTGTCTGCACATGGCACCTTGACTTTGTGTGTGGTGTTATAGTATGCGTGGGGTGGATTTCCTATTAGCGATTGAGTCTTCGTGATCACATCGTCTTTCACACCAAACACTTGCGTGACAGCTATGAAGACTAACGATAAGGATTCTCTTGTTCTGTAGAGGCATCTGATTATCAGTGGAGTTACACTCTAATTAAGCGAGATTTGGAGTCTCAATCGGAGGCAAAATTTCTTCACTTTTTTAATAATTTCACCTCTCCCTTTCCATTCTTTTCCAACAGCTGGCGGAACAATTATATCTGAAGGCGATTTCGATCCAAGAGCGCTTTCTGGGGCCGAATGATTTTGAGGTGGGTCTCAGTATTGAGCACCTAGCCAGTCTCTACAATTACCAAATGGGCGAGTATAAAAAGGCTGAGGCGCTCTACCTACGATCTGTTCAAATAAGTAAGTCCATAACCCCCTCCCTCCATCACCCCCCCCCCTACCAATTCTTTCACCTCCTACGAGAACAAGTTCTTTCCTGAGGTTGTGATCGGCGCCTTTTTCTGTCTTTCACATTGTTAGGACACTTGAGAATCTAATTGCCGTTAGAGAGAAGTTGGCTTGGTGATTGGGAAAAAGTAGCTTTACTTGTCAATTATTGGTGGTCTGTGATCGATAGTATTTGCGTTGTCAAATTTCTTAAACGAGTTTGAGGTCTTTCTATATCTGTTGAAGAGGGCGTCCAATTTTATCATTTGTTTGTGACAAAGATTCCTCAATCCCAGAATGCTTATTTGACAAGCTCTTTGCTGCTTTACAAATATATATGAGTTTTTAATAACTGAAAGGTACCGACTACTCAGATCTCAAGGTGGCAGAGCTTTCTCTTCACTGCTGTCTGTTTGTGAGCGCACACTTCTAGTACGTCTGTGACTTATACCTTGACTTAGTGATTTGGAGCAAGTGCATCTCTGTTTTACTCACCTCCAATCCTTGTGAAATCCGCTTCTGTAACATGAGTGAGGCAGACTCGGAGAGAATCAACTGACTCTTCTCAAGTGATTGAAATGTGAAATTGGATGAACAACTTGGCGTAGGGGCTGGTTGGAATGAGCAATACTTATGTGCGCGTGCATAGTTGTTTTCCAATAGGAATACTGTGTGGACGCGAAGGAAATAGAGAGTGTGGTTGTGGGCTATTGCAATGGAGAAAGTGAGCTTGAATCGTTGTACTGAGTGGTTGGTTAAGATCACTGACAGCCAGCATTGCACTGTGAGAAGGACAGTTTAGATCGATGCGTGAGTTGGGTGGAGGCTTAACGATGACGCCATTTCCAGTTCGATATGTGGGGGGAGGGGTGGGGTTAGGGAGCAACTTCTCAACTTTTGCAAAGTAGGCAATATCTCGCAAGCACTTGTAAATAAACTTCCTGGCATTTCAACGATATTAGGCACTACTCATTTCGAGTGGTTCATCAGTTTGCTTGTTTGTTTTGTAGGTCTAGATGCATTCGGACCAGGATACAGTGGATTGGAGTATGATTATCAGGGTCTTCAAAGTGTCTATCGGGAAATGAATAATATTGATAAAATGAGGGAGTATATCCAAATCTTTGACGAATGGTATGAGTACCGACAGCATCACGTGCCCCTGTTTTCTAGCGCTATTGTCGAGGACGCAATGAAAGATTACCTTGAGCCTTCTTCTCCCTCTGTTACGCATCTGGACACCATATGGAGAGAATTCCGCTACATATTTGAGACGCAGTTGGGTGGAGTCAGAAATTGAAGGGGTAGGCAGCTGCACCAGAGGATTGTAGATGCCTCTTGTAAATAGTGGCTTATTGGCTTCAAGCTCTGTGCTTTCACTCAAGCACTGTTTTTTTTCTATTGTATTATTATTTAGAATGAAACCTGAATGATAGTTGTTTTGAATACTTCAAATTGCTTTCCATATTCGCATATTTTCTAATTGCTTTTACTAAGAAGGTGACAAACCTACTATTCAAGTTGCTGGCACGAATGGGTGGAACCTCAAAGCCACAAAAGTGGAAGAGGGGGGGGGGGAGGAATAGGCGGAAACGGATGAGTGAATTGAATTTGTTGCAGATTGTGACAGCTCCGTGTGGAAGGCCTGTTTGTTAAAGATTGGATTTTGATAGAGCATTTTCACATCTGACTTTACAAATCGCATTTTGATAGAGCATTAAGATATCTGACTTTACATGATCTTTGTACAATGAATGCTTTTATCCAGTTTAGCATGTTATGTTTAATACCAATTTTTTATCCAGTTTAGCATGTTATGCTTAATACCAATCTTGCCATTTAGAATTAGCTTCTCTTTCCATACTAAGTCATATGCTGGTTTATCCAATTTAGCATGTTATGCTTAATTCCAATCTTTGCCAATTTTCAAATTAGCTTCTCTTTCCATACTAAGTCATGTGCTGATTTGAAGTCGACGAATGCAGCCGCAAGAGTATTTTTTGCATCAAACGCGTGTTTGATGTGTTGGGAGAAAGTGGCAACTTGTTGGTTAGTTGATCTTTGTGGCCTAAATCCTGCTTGTTCACTCCTAAGAATATAGTTGGTCTCAAGGAACCAGGTCAGTCTCCTGTTAACCATTCTTTCCATAACTTTTGCCATCA